TTGTTTCACATGGTTTTACTTTATCTATTCTTTCACTCTTTCATTGAGCCGATTGTTCCTTCAGTAGCACGCGTTATATTGTAGATGCGTCCGTGGTCATATCTGCGACTACGAGTATGTCTACGGAACTCGGAGCAAAATAATACTTCTCTCCGCATCTTTATCGAAGTTTTATTAACTCTTAGCAGTGATTAGATCACTTGAGACTCGATATATTCATATAATTTTCAAAGATTGTACATCCTTTTCACATCATAAAAGTATAAATTCAAATTTATAAACTATGGCTTTTTATTGTATGAACTATATTTATAGGCAAGTCCGACTACCCAACAGATTCGATTGAATAGAATAAGGATAAAAATGACTCAGTTCTCAGAAAGATACATCTGTCGAGAGTTAAAAGTAGTCTTTGAGAACAGACAACGTTAGTCTTGATCTCTTTACGTACTAAACAGCTAAACTACAAGTTAAACGATGTAATACAAGAAATATCTTCCTTGTTCGTTTTATCGATTGTCCTCGATATTTGACGTAAGTTAAATTCGCACAATGAACTGGCCGCTGTCATTTCGAAACCACACATGTTGAGATATTGTAGCGATATAAATAAATGATGGTTTTATATTAGATGACTGCAAACATTTATGGTCGACATATTTAAAATTCGAATAGTTGCAACTTCGTTAAAAATAAACGAAATTTAAATTAAAAAAAAAAATATTTTAAAGCTTAAAATCTCCACCTTTGAAAGGTCACTGTGTTTTATTGAGTTTCTGTGAGTTTGGTCATTTTTATATATAGAAAACTACGAGTTGGACATAATGGAAAATTTTCTTCTTTGTGGATTTATTCATCAAAAATTTTTAAAAATGTGCTAAAATTTTTTACTTTCTAACATAAAAGCTTTAAATTTTTCTTATAAAATTATCTTTTAAAAGTGTTTCTAAAATTTTTTGTTACTAAGTTATCGCAGATTAAATAAAGAGAACGTTGATTTTGATTGCTCATAACTTCGTTAAAAAATCATTGTATTGCAATAAAAAAAACAGATCCTTAGTTGAAACTTTGCTCTATCAAATAGCATAATTGCCAATTTGAATAAAATATTAAGTCCTAAATTTACATTAAAAACTTTTTTTTAAATTAGACACAAACTTTTGCACTCACCCAATACACATCTTTTGTGTTACAAAATAATATAATAATTTGTAAAATATTCATCTAGTTTCTATGTTTAATTGAAGCATTATTTAGATACTCGTTTTCATACTATTGGTCATATCTTGTATATTGTTCTGTCTTGAACAAATTCTATACGATTTTACATTAGGGAGAATAGGGGAGAATTGGAAGAGAACTTGAAATCTACAGAGAAGAGAAGATAAGCATATTGGCTGAGGATGTGTAATCTATTGAAGATATATCGCGCATATAAAGCCAAATTCGATCAGTTAGCCCGTTGGAAAACCGTTAGTGTGTATGCATGGCACGACTTCATCGCGTCTTGTTTAGTCGATGTTCAAAATGACGACATCACTGTTCTATTCTTGGTAGCGTGGACGCAGCGATATCTTTAGAGCGACCATCGGTACAGTCCGTTTCCGAGCTTTCCTTCCTTCGTGGCGAAAACGTGCCAGTTGACGAGAGAAGGCAAGATGATTTATTTCGACTAAATCAGACCACACTGTTAGCCTTCCCTATTTTCTGAGAGCACGGTGTTCTTATAATTTTATTCTGCCATGTTATTACTATATAGTTAATCTGAAATATGGATAAATATTTTTTGAATCACATTGAGAGATCTTTATGGCATAGCTATAAACATGATAGAAATTCGATTTAAATTTGAAATTTGAGAAATTCTCACTCAAAAAATCACCGACTTAACAATATACACTCTCAGAGTTTTACTTATTGCAATCTTGGATAAAATTTCAATTAGCATCAATGGGGAAATGTCACGCATAGTTTTCATTGTCAAATAAGCTAATTAAAAGTTTAGTTTGAAAAGAATAATTTTGTTTTGATTCACTTAAGAACTAGCAAGATTAAAAAACTTATTGTATAATAAATATTGTATAATAAAAATAATTCTATACACAAAGAGAGGAGGTACAGATTTAGAAAAAAGACAACTCGTAAAAATAAACAGACTTTTTTTGACTTATAGCTATCCAAAGTCTAAAAATTAGAACACGTTACTTTAAGTTATTTTAACATTGTTTTTGCAAGAAAACATACTATCCCAAATAACATTTATGTTGCATAAGATATCTAAAAGACGTCTTTTAGATATCTTATGCAACATGTTACCTGGGATATTATAAAAAAG